TGTGTTTCCCTTTTTGTCCAAATATATTTTTTACGACAACTGTCTTGTCCAAGGTGTCTTTTATTCGTTCCACTGGGGTTTAGCAAATGTGTTGATAAAGAGACGAATATCTCTACTGTTACTAGTGTTAGTGTCTCAACATGGCTACGCTCGTGAAAGCAAAACAACGAACTCAAACGCGTCTTCGTTCAATGTTGTGAACTAATATCCGGATTAATTTTAGGCAAATTTTCCTCAATTCTCCGGAGAGGTTTTCATAAAAATGTGAAAAACCTGGAATTCCGGGAAAACCTGGAGGACTTTCATCTCTGTATTATTTAAAGGAAAACAAAATCCAAACCTACATGGCCCTGTGTGAAAAAGTGTTTGCCCCCCTAGACCTAATAATTCGTTGGGCCACCCTTAGCAGCAACAGCTGCAATCAAGCATTTGCGATAACTTGCAATGAGCCTTTCACAGCGCTCTGGGGGAATTATGGCCCACTCATCTTTGCAGAATTGTTGTAAATCAGACACATTGGAGGGTTTTCGAGCATGAACCCCCATTTGAAGGTCATGCCACAGCATCAGATCAGGACTTTGACGAGGCCACTACAATGTCTTCATTTTGTTTTTCTTCAGCCATTCTGAGGTGGACTTGCTGGTGTGTTTTGGATCATTGTCCTGCTGCAGAACCCAAGTTCGCTTCAGCTTGTGGTCACTAACAGATGGCCTGATATTCTCCTTCAGGATTTTTTGGTACACAGTAGAATTCATGCTTCCATTTATTACAGCAAGTCTTCCAGGTCCTGAAGTGGCATAACAGCCCAAGACTACCACTACCATATTGGTATAATGTTCTTTTTCTGAAATGCGGTGTTACTCTTACGCCAGATGTAACGGGACACACACACCTGAAAAGTGAAACAACTTTTGTCTCGCCAGTCCACAGAGTATTTTCCCAAAAGTCTTGGGGATCATGAAGATGTCTTTTGGCAAAAGTGAGACGAGCCTCAATGTTCTTTTTGCTCAGCAGTGGTTTTTGACTTGGAACTCTGCCATTGCAGGCCATTTTTGCCCAGTCTCTTTCTTATAGTGGAGTCAAGAACACTGATCTTAACTAAGGCAAGTGCGGTCTGCAGTTCTTTGGATGTTGTTGTGGGGTCTTTTGTGACCACTTGGATGAGTCGTCGCTGCCCTCTTGGGGTAATTTTGGTCGGTCGGTCACTCCTGGGAAGGTTCACCACTGTTCCATGTTTTTGGTGGGATTTTTTTTCTCCTTTAGTAATACAGACCTTCCTTTAAAAACTGCATTTTGTGTTTACTTGTGTTATCTTTGACTATTATTTACATTCGTTTGACTATCTGAAACATTTAAATGTGACAAACGTAAAAAAAATAAAAAAAAAGGAATCACGAAAGGAGCAAACACTTTTTCACACCACTGGAGTATCAATCTGCTTAACCTTTTCAGAAGATGGCCTTCGTGATGCAGATGGTATCATAGAAGTGACAAGCCTTCAAGAGGTGGCCTTATCTTTAGAGATTTGATCTAACATCCAACACAAATTGGTTCTCACGGTGGATTTGGTTCTCAGGTCATCTGTGCCTGCCGCCACAGTATTTTAAAACCAACAACATGCATCTCATGACAATATCACTCGATTTGCTAGCAGCACAATCGCCCCCGAGCTTCACGGCATGACGTCACTTGCCATTCGAAACTCATCTTTACAAAAATGCAGAGTAAAAGCCTTCCTTCAACAAGACACAAATACTGGCTAGAAATAGATTATTAGTTATTTCAACAGAATTTCCTTTTTAGCACTGAGTTCAATGTACTTTTCTTACCTCCGTGACATTAAAACATTTGGACGAGTTATTTCTCTTCATGCTGCATCAGGGTAGCAAGACAACTGGGAAGGTGATGGAAAACTTGAGTGACTACATATCAGGCGGTGACTTAGGCTGTCCCTTCTGCCGGCGACGCTTTCTTTTCCTCTTGACAGTCCTCCAGTTGTAAAAAAATCCAGTGTCACTTGAGTTACTTTTCTTCTCAAGCCTTTCTGAAGCTGAACAGGTCGAAAACGGGAATCAGTATGCAATGAGTAAAATGGCAAAAAGCACAGCCGAGAGCTGAATGAAAAGTAGCACGCATGGCCGGATAGCGCGCTCAGTGCGGATTTATCTGACCGGACAATCAGGGGACGTCGTGTATGCAGAAGTTCTGGTTAGGCCACAGTGTGCTGCCTAAAATCTTCCATGAAATGTGTACAGAAAAACAAAGCGGCACATGAAATTTTTATTCCAATAGAATTTTAGAAGAGGCTTCATATTGAAATATTTCTATTTGATCTTTAGAGGCTCACATGTCATCCATAAGCGTGCTGTAATTGTAATTGGATTTTTATACTTCTGCGTGTTTTTGTTTCATTGAACATATTTCCCTAGGTGGCATAAAAAGGATGTAGGAATGTGCATGTTGATGTCCTTAGAATATCCTTACCCATTGGTAATTATTCCAGAACTCTGTGTCTATTTCTGGCATATGCGTTATGTGCGAACACACAGTGCGGCATTGGTGGGGGGGCAGCAATGCTTGAGGTCAACCATGTCCCAGGAATGTTCAATCTAATCCTTAAGATAAAGTAATGGAAGCACACTGGGAAACAAAGTTAGAATTATTGCAGTATAGTTCATTTATGTCCCCCCCCCCATTTGTGCAATGCGATATTTATTTATATTTATTTTTTCTGTTTGTTTACATAATTCTAAACAGCCTCTTCCTTTATCTTACTTGTGCGCTGAATTATGAACGGAAACTAGTGTGCCGCCAAAAAATGTTCAAATGGCTTTAAGGCAAGCTGTTAAGAGCATTTAATCTATATCTTTGATGTCCATCTTAAGGTCCATGTATGAGTCATCACTAGCAGGACTACTACATGTACTAATGAGGTAAAAGGTTGCACTGGTTGACATCTATGCGCTACCTGTACTCCTAGTGAAGCACTGCATGTTATCTAGTTGAATGTAATATCATCACTAGAAGTACTAGCAGCACATAGTAGTCAACTTCCATTTGTGTGCAGCATAAGAGGCTGCTTCACCATGTTTGCTTTGAACTCTACGCTCCACTAATTGAGTTGAGTTTGCAGACTTCAGAGCCCTACTGCGTTTCAATTCCAAGTAGCATTTCATGAATGTACTTTGGACAAAAAACATTCAGCGATTTATAGACCAGTGTCAGTACTAAAGTTTATTCCACAGCTGACTGGGAGCACCCAGTGTAAAGCCTTGAGAACCAGAGTAACACATTCTGATCTCTTTGTTCTAGGAGAATGCAAGCTGCAGCTGTTTGATGCTCTTTGAGGAAGTCCAATCAGAAGACCATGACAAGAATAGAGTCTATTGGAGATAAAAGTATGAAAGAGCTTCTCTTATAAATTAGAAGTGACCAATCGTGCAAATAGCGATATTGTGTAGAAGCTCAATCAGCTTGCAATACTCTAAGAGAGTAAAAACAATACATTTTAGCATGGCCTTTTATCGCCCAAGTAGCCACACCTGAAGCAGAGTCAGAATCGAGCCACTCATTGTAAAGCGCCATTAGATCCTTCTGTGTTTCTGGCCAACATTTCCACACACCACAGGCTTGATGCCCTGCAAACACACAGTCAAGAGGTCAAAGGGCAAAGTCTTGAGACAAGAACTGTCCACGCTGTGAATTTAATGAGGCAACAAGTGTCTACCTTGTACATGCTGCAGATAAGCGGGAAGAGAGAAGTTGTAGCCTTCTTCTGCAGGTCATCTGTGTGTGCCTGGAAGATTATGTTTCAATTCGAAAAGGGCACTCAACAGGAGGGAATGGGGAAAAAAAAACACTCACAAAAAAGATAGTATAAGATGGTATATCACTACTAGAGCACTACACAGAATTATAAACATTGTACTGAATATTTAAATGCAAGGCATACTTTGTTTTAAAAACATTGCCAGTGCTAAAGCTAAAGTCTGTGAAAATCCCATTGACATGCTACCAACAAATTAGCATCTTGATTGTAGAAATATTGCCAATGCTAATGCTATCAGACATGCTAATAGAAAATTAGCATTGAGTTCTGGGAGTGATATTCCTTCAAATAATGAACATCCACACCCACCTAATACGGTAGTAGCACATTTTTGGAATGTGGGAGGAAAGCAGACAACCCAGAGAAAAACCACAAACGCACAAGGAGAACATGCAAACTCCACACAGCCTATCCCATCTTTTTTTTTAATTGCTATTATTTAAATATCTTCGTGTTTTACTTTGTTACTAATTTATTTTCTAATTCTTCTTTCAAGTTTTAGTTATACAATACAGTACAACTTTATTTATTTTGCGCATTTCACAAGAGCTGCAGCTGTAACAAAAGACTTAAAATACAACATCAAATAACATTAATTAATATAAAGTGAAAACAGTAAATTAAAACACAAATTCACTGTATTAACTCCTTTACGGTAGACAGCAGAAAACAAGTGACAGTCTCAATAAAGATGTCTCCAAACTAGCCCTCATGCAATAATACTGATTGTTACATTTTAAGTATTTGTCCCACATTGGGTTGCGCTTTGAGGTGTGACAACTTTTTTCACTTTTGAATTTTTTTTCACTTTCAACTTTCAAAATGTTCAGTGGCATCTGGCCAAGACATACATATATTTATTTCTTTATTTATTTATATTTGGCGCCCTCTATGAGCCACAGCAGCAGGAGTGTGTCAATCACACACTAACTATGCTGCAGATGTCAATAAAAAAAAAACCACCCAGTCCAAATCTTGCATATGACATAAATAGAGCCTTGAATATGTCACCAAACCGCAGAAACTGAATTTTTCTTCATGCCTGCTTTTTTCTGCAATGGCCATTTCAAAATAATGCAACAAAAAACGTATTTGTCCCACATTGGGTTGCGTTTTGAGGTGTGACAACTTTTTTCACTTTTGAATTTTTTTTCACTTTCAACTTTCAAAATGTTCAGTGGCATCTGGCCAAGACATACATATATTTATTTCTTTATTTATTTATATTTGGCGCCCTCTATGGGCCACAGCAACAGGAGTGTGTCAATCACACACTAACTATGCTGCATATGTCAATAAAAAAAACATCCAGTCCAAATCTTGCATATGACATAAATAGAGCCTTGAATATGTCACCAAACTGCAGAAACAGAATTTTTCTTCATGCCTGCTTTTTTCAGTGGCCATTTCAAAATCATGCAACATAAAACATATTTGTCCCAGATTGGGCTATGATGTGATAACTAAGTCATTTTTGAAAATTTTTCACTTTCAACACCTCAGAATGTTCAGTGGCATTAGACCTAGCCATACATATATTGTTTGCATTACTTTTTTCTTCTGTATGAATAACAAAATGAGTATTGTGTTATGACTCTACATAAGTAACTCTAACTCTGTGTGTCCAATATTGTGTATTGCGTGTATATAGATATCAGAGTGAAAAAATGTTGTGCATGGTAATTAGAACCTTGAAAACGTATAAAAGTCACAAAAACTATGAAAAATGTTGAAGTAACATACTTTATAACAAACAAAACAACCAGAAACTAATATACAAACTTGATAACAAAAACGAAAAACAAACAAAACTTTTTTTTTTTTTTTACAATCAGAACAAATGGTTGTAGTGTGTTTGTGGAAGATGGCCTTTCCACATCTGCCACAATAATTCGAAGCACGAAGTGTTTTTTCGCAAAAGCTATATCGCTTTCTCTTTCTCGCATGCACATGGTTGGCATACTTTTCGTGCGTTTACGTGCATAAAGTTCCCGTAGTTCTCCGACATATAGTTGATGATCTTTCGCCCAACGTAAAACTCGATTTTCAAAAAATAACACTTGATTTTCAAAACAACGTCCAGCCAGTAACTATCGTTGCAATGCATTATATTCGTTAGTGCGTGCTGCAACCTCAAACAGTCATGCTCGTGCAACACACGCCCAGGGCACTGGGCATGCCCGTGCACAAATGCACATTGTGCATGCGCGATCTACTGGCGTGCAGATGAGAAAAAGGCTGACAAGCCCATCATTTCAAATGGCCATAAGTACACTCCTAAAACGTGGCTGTTTAGCCTGTGCTCAGCGCGTTCACGCGAACGCGCGTACCCGCGCGTCACGTTCATTCCGAGACCACACGGCCGGGGCATGCATTGCATAACAGCTTGACCAATTCAAAAGTCGATTTTCAAAAAATAACACCTGATTTTCCAAAAAACACCCAGCGAGCAATGCTCTGCAAACTGCATTACATTGTTTTGCACGTGCGCGCGAGCGTGAACGTGCAAAACAATGTAATTTATGCGCAACATACGCGGGTGGGACATCTTTAGAGGTGACACCAGGAAGTTGAGTCGGTCTGGCTGACGTCTCTGCAAGAGACGCGTACGACCTGACAATCCAACGGGCACAAAATGGCGGAAAAGTACTGCTTCGATGTCTTTGATCAGTACTCTTCTATATGACGTGCACATACGATCATATCCATACACATAGATGCAAATAGACCTCTCGCAACAAACTATACAGTTTATTCGAATGAAAATGACGAATCGGATGTTTACGAAAGGACGAAGTGAGCCGGCCGAGAATTACATTGTAGGCTCTGGCGCCATCTCATGGAAAGTGAGGGACAAACCCTACTAACACAATTCTCAAGCTTTGATAGTATTGGTGAGCCGCCGGTGATGTGATTTGTGCAGAAATTGAGAAAAATGCACGATAAAACACCGGGTTTAGAGTCTATTGAAAATTGGAATTTATAATGGCCGTCAATGTGCCATTTTTTGGATTTATACTTTAAGCAGTGGCAAAATTTGTCACTTCGTGGAGTTATTTTTTCACACTTTTGGCTGTGTGTACAACTGTCCAACTGTCCAAAAATGACCAATTTGGGACAGATTACGCATAAGGGCTAGTTAAAAAAAAAAAAGAAAAGAACATGGAGGGGGCTTGTCTAATAGTTCATGGCAGGCCATTCCAAAGAGAGGGACCAGCAACGGAAAAGGCTCGATCCCTCTGAGCCTCCGCTTAGTTCTTGGTACTTCTAATAATGTCTGGGCCGCAGACCTGAGGCGCCGGGCAGGTGCGTAGGGGCGGAAGAGCCCAGATAGGTAAGGTTGGGTGAGGCCATTTATAGATTCGAAAACAAATAATAGGATCTTAAAAAGAACTCTAAAATGTACTGGGAGCCAGTGAAGGGAAGCCAGAACTGGCATTATAATGCTCCCTCTTACGAGCTCCAGTTAGGAGGCGGGTAGCAGTATTTTGGACCAACTAGAGACGCTTGATGGAGGACTGGCTGACCCCAAAATAAAGTCTATTTCCGTAATCTAGTATTTGAAATGGAGTTTTGGTAAATACAAGGTTTTGAAATCAATTAATACTCATGTTTATTAATGATGATATCAATAATTGTTGCTGTTTTTTTTTTTTCCCAGAACACTACATCGGAGTCAGGTTCTATCTCCAGTACATATTATGTTGGACTGGGAAGGTAGTGTTCAGCCCAGTGAGGAAGGGATGCAACAAACAGCAGCAAAGCTCACCCCATTAATGGTCAACCAGGGAACAAACTGGTGCGGAGGATCCAGAGCATTAGTCCTCAACGCGTTCTGATGCATCAGCTGGTTTCCAACATCTCCATCCACGCAGCTCATGAGGCGCTCCCAGCTCAGTTTGGGACTGTACAGATGAACACACTAGACGCAAGTAAGCAAATTAGGACATATTAGAGATGAGAAAGGATTTTAAGATGGAGTTAACCAAATGTTTCTTACACTCTTGGCAGCTGCGATGACATCAGTGGAGGCCTCCATACAGAAGATGATGAGGAAGGCATTGTCGGTCATGTTCAACAAACACGTCTGACAAAACAGAAAATAGACTTGCTAAAACTCTTCAAGTGGAAATTTACAAAATGTCAACCAGCATTCTAAATGCGAAATATTTCCTTTTTCACAAATGTGGTCATTGACATAGAGGTTGACCGACATGAAGCTTTACCTGAATCATGTTGCCAAGGCACTCCTGTTCTCCATGTTGGCACTTAAATATATACTTGCCCTCACTGGGTATCTCCTGGTGGGCAAAAACATGAACTCTAAAAGAATATGAAATTACACAAATATTGTTCCCCCATCACTGCATTCATTTCATCCATCCATCCAATTTTCAGACTACATTACTAATGAAGGTCATGCATGGGTTGGAGTCCAAACCAGACGACTTTGGGTGAGAGTCGGGGTACACCCTTTCGAGCAAGAGTGCCCATCCAGTCGATCACAATAGTTCGTGGACTGGTCCCAAGTCGACCGCGAGGGGTGTAGGGGGAAATGGGGTGGGGTGGGGGGATATGTGTGTGTGTGTGTGTGTGTGTGTGTGTGTGTGTGTGTGTGTTTGTGTGTGTGTGTGTGTGTGTGTGTGTGTGTGTGTTATAGTTACTGATGGTGCCACGCTCCACTTGCATGACTTGTGTGTGAGAAGCTTGGGATTGGTTCCCACACATAGGACGGTGTGAATGTGGCTGTGAATGTGGCTGTGATGTGAATGCGCAGGGCTCTCTAGATGTGCCATGCCGCTGACTGGCAACCAGTTCAGGGTGTATCCTTTCTTCCGCCCGAGGTAGGCTCGGATAGGCTCGAGCAAACCCGCGCCCTCCCAGTTCAGGAGAAGTGGTGTTGAAAATGCATGGATGGATATGCATGTCATTAATATATATTTTTGTGCTGGTGTACACTGCACCCTAAGCATCCTATCGGTTTCACTTTCACCAAAAAGGTATGAGAGGAAGTCAAAAATTACCCGCACTTTATGCTACAACGTGCACTTGTGTTTAAGTTCCATGAAACTTTCCCTGCAAGCGGGAACTTGTGTGTCACGTGATTGCGATCAGGTGAGATATTTGCTGGATCGATCGTTAGACGTGTTTGTTTCAGTCACTCCACTGGCAGAATGCACCAATGAAAAACAGCGTGCAGTGATCCGATTTTTATGGTCGGAAGTTGTGTTGAGGGTGTGGGGGGGGGGGGATTTACCGGAGGTCCTAAATACAACGAGTGGATTGAAAAGTTTAAAAGTGGCCGGACAAGTGTGGACCGCACAGAAGGAGCAGGACGTCCATCAACCTCGACCATTAACGAAAACAATGAACAAGTTCATTCCTTTGAGGTACAGCTGTATATGAGATTAAGCTACTGAAATAAAATCAACAGGTTGCCGACAATTCACTCTTCCGGGCCGTGGTAATGCTCCCATGACAATACCAGAGTGGTACTGCAACCACTGCATGGACATGTGTACCTGCGCATTGCCGAAGGGAACCAGGCGGACACACAGAATGTCCTGCAGCAGCACCCATGTGGGGTACAGCACCTGTGTCAGGTACAGAATGCAGTCGGGACACAGACTCTCGTAGTAGACATCCAAGTGGACAGGCTCCCCTGCCTGATGAGAATTGGTCAAGTTAGTGTGGGGACACTGTTTCAACACCTGCATAAAAAAGGCAAAAGTTTTCCATGAGTGTACATAATGGTGTATTTGATACATGGTGAGTAGAAAAAGCCCACAACGCTGTTATTGTGATGCAAAAAAAAATCTGATCAAGAGATATTTGAAACGTTTTAAAACATTGTACAGCACTTTGAGTTGCATTCTTATGTATGAAAAGTGCTATAATTAATAAAGTTTGATTGATTGATCGATCGATCATTTCGCCACCATTAATATGACCTATGGCCTGGACCTACAACTCAAACTATTTTATTTACGTTACTTATTTATCTTTCTGAGAAACAATAAAAATCGCTCACCAGTGATTAGCACAACTCTGATGTTTTTCTCAGAATGTTGAAATAATATTCAATTGAAAATGTTAAGACTGGCAGATATTTACGGAATACAATCTTGAATGAATGTATGTATGTGTGTGTATGTATGTATGTATATATATATATATATATATATATATATATAGAGAGAGAGAGAGAGAGAGAGAGAGAGAGAGACACCCACACCCACACACACGCGCGCGCGCGCGCGCACACACACACACACACACACACACACACACACACACACACACACACACGACGGTAAATTGGAATGTTTTTTTTTTTGTCGTTACACACAATACTAACGTTGGGGGCGATGTTTTACCGAGATATAAACACATCCAACATAAAGGCTATAGGATTATTAAAACGAGGTTAATAAAGGGGCATTAATCTCACCCCACACTGAACGGCAGAGTTGAGAGACGAACAGCACTGCGCCAGAGTGTAAGGACATGACGAAGACAGAGAACTAAAGTGTACGATTAAAGTCAACGTAAATGGCAAATCAACCTTCATTTTCTGACACTAAACTGTCTAATAACTGAAGCTCACTAAAAACTTACGTGACAACTTTTATAAACTCTCAGCCAGCGTTTCCCTGTTTTTGCACTTCCTCCTCAGTGGTTGGCTGACGATAAGGTGACGTAGGTAGCGTCACCATTAGCAAAGTGAAATTCAATCATGCGGTGGGAGAGAATCGGAGCGACACCTTGTGTCGAGTAAAAACATCCTCGTCAAAAAAAGTGGAGCCACAAAATGGTAAGCATCCAGCCATTATCTGATCTACCTCTCCTCACAAGATTCGCGGGTATGTTGGAGTCCATACCAGCAGTCTTCGGGCAGGAGGCGGGGTCCATCCTGAACTGGTTGCCAGCCAATCGCAGGGCACACAAAGACAAACAACCATTCGCACTCACAATAACACTTATGCGCATTTTAGAATGATCAATCAACTTTCCTGGGATGCTTTTGGAATATGGGCGGCACGGCACAGGCACGGGGAGAACATGCAAACTCCACAGGGAAGGCTGGTGCCGGATTTAAACCCACGACCTCTGTACTGCACTAGTCCCCCAAATGGTTATATTTTTAACAATTGTTTTGTTATCAGCAACATACAGAACTGGAATGACCTGGGGTGGGTGGTGGGAGATTGTGCCTTATCAGAGATGAAAGTCCTCCGGATTTTCCCGGAATTCCGGGTTTTTCAAATTTTTATGAAAATTTCTACGGAGAATTGAGGAAAATTTGCATAATCCGGATATTAGTTGACAACATTGAACGAAGACGCGTTTGAGTTCGTTATATTGCTTTCACGAGCGTAGCCATATTGAGGCACTAACACTCGTAACAGTAAAGAGATTTTTGTTTGTGTAATAACGACAGAAGGCATGATGGCGTTTGACTAATGGTTTAGTAGAACGAATGGCAACTCGCAACAACAGGAGCAAGCGTTATTTTGCCTCTTGGGTTATACCATCTCAACTAGAACGTGGGGGATAGTCCCCAAACAATTT